CTTACAGCGTTTCCATATAACACTGCATGAACGGATCTCTACAACCCACGTGTGGCAAAAATTGAGGAAAATTAGCTAATTCAATTCCCTGGTCTCACGTCCAGTTTGTGGCAGTTGAAAAGGTTAGCATAGATATATCTTGAATATTTTATTCCAGACTTAAGGCCATTGTTGCTTTTTCAAAAGAAGAGGTTATTCAATTCTCACCCAAATTGTTTAGAAAATTCTGTCGTTTTCAATAGGCAGTGGAGTCCTAAAGTTGTCCTGCCTTCTTGTTGTCCTAACTATAATATTTATTTATAAACCTTTCTTTGAAACTTTTAAGCATTGAGGATTTTCTTTCCATAGAAATTTTCCTTTAGGTGTTTACATTCAGTAAAACTTTTCTGTTTAGGACAGAGAAACAAGTCAAAATAGTTAAGAAAATACAACTTCTGTTCACAATTATAGGAACTTCCAGAGTAGAAATAAGTCATAGAATAACCCTCACATTCATCTTTTTCTCTAACTTCTAGCCCAAAACTTTTTTGTATGCTTAGTAAACACATGATTATAAGCTTATTGTCCACAGTTTTGAAGCTGATCTCCCTACATGTATTAATGATAATTCTATTAGATGCTGGGCTTCTTTGGGGAATAATCACTTACTAAAATTATTCACTTTATTTACTTAAATATTTATTAAGCAACTGCTATGAGTTAGATTCTGTTTTAGACATTAGTGAATAATCCAGACAAAAATCTCTGTCTTCATGTCCTAATCAGAGGAGTAAACAATAAGTTAGCATAACAAATAAAATATAAAGTATTTTAGTGATAACAAAGAAGAAGAAAATCAAGCAAAAAAGGAACTCAATAAAAAGCGATTATTATTATAGTCTCTGCAAACCAGGCCTGACTCAACAAACTGTGAAAGTTGGTTAAGAGCTGAGTTTTGCAGGTTAAGTCCACCAAAGTTGAAGGACAGGAGTGGGGATGGAATGAAGAATATGAGAAAAGCCTAAGATTAATATATATATATATATATATATATATATATATATATATATGCATTTTCAAGGGGTAGAGGGGAAATTAGCTTATATGAGTGTGATGAAGTTTCAAAAATGTGGGAAGAATATAGAGTAGATTCATATCACAAAGGATGTTGAAAATCAAGTTGAGGCCTCCATCTACCATCTCAGTTAGTGAGATTCTGGCATATACTAAGTTAGAGTGTCCTAGTCTACAGCCATACCACCCTGAACGCGCCCGATCTCGTCTAAGTTAGAGTGTCCTGATTGAGAAACTGAGACCAAAAAGAGGCATTGCATTTTCAAAAAAACAAAAGGAAGGAAGGAAGGGAGGGAGGAAGGAAGGAAGGGAGGGAGGGAGGGAGGGAGTGAGGGAGGGAGGGAGGGCAAGGAAAGGAAGGAAAGGAAAGGAGGAAGGGAGGAATACTTGACATCCACACTTTATTAGCAAGTGACAGAATAAAGTGTGGAGGTCAAGTATTTCTCCCTTCCTCCCTTCCTCCTTTCTCTTTCTTTCTTTCTTTCTTTCTTTCTTTCTTTCTTTCTTTCTTTCTTTCTTTCTTTCTTTCTTTCTTTTTTTCCTTCTTCCTTCCTTCCTTCCTTCCTTCCTTCCTTCCTTCCTTCCTTCCTTCCTCCTTCCTTCCTTTCTTTCATTTTTTTTTCTTTCTCCCTTCCTGCCTTCCTGACTTCCTTTTAAATGGCCTTAACCATCAAAATCTTTCTTCTTGTAAGCTAAAGAGGTCTTGTGATTTAGGTAACGTTCATTCACTGTGGGAATTAAAGATAATAGGCAAGTCTGGGCTCACTGACAGCAACCCATAAAACATTTTGGAGGAGCAGAACTAACTAGGTAAATAAACTCTGATCGTGGCTTTTCTGATTCTTTCTAGTGACTGTTTCAGCATCTTTTCATCACCTCATAACAGCTCTGACCAAAGGACAAATTATCCCTGCTATTCCCTCTTTGTGGCTTCCCTGTGTCAAAAGCATAATTAAATCCTTTAATTTCCCCTAAAAGACACAGGCAGTGGACAAAAGGACAAGTGCCCAGAGTTAACAAAGTTTCATCATTTCAACTGCTGTTGCTCTTTGAAGAAAAATATTCTTGGGTTAGACCTGAAGTAAAAGAATTTCGATCAGACAACAGGAATTCTTTTTCTCTGGATAGGTTTTGTCTGTAATAAACAGAGGCTTTCAAAACAATTTTATGGTCCTGGGAAAGTATTTTATGTTCTGGATATTCTCTACAGAAATAGCAATTTCAATGCCTAAATTGTTAGATATCTCACTAATGATTTTGTTTTTTAAGTCTCTGGAAATTGGTACTCTCCTTGTTTTTTTCTTTTATTTTTTCCCCTTTATTCCAACAGTTAAAAGTGTAGCTAAGATAATGAAGGTGTTATGACAGCTCCAGGGAATAGAGGGACAAAGCAGTAGAGAATGATGGTTCCCTTTCCATTGATTTACTATTTTGAGTGTGGCAGGTAGGAGGAGGCAGGAGGACAGAGCATAAACCAATAAATGTTCTTTCACCTTGAGTTTTTTAAGCTCTATTTGGACAATTAAATGATTCCTCTCTTTGTGGGAGCCTATTCCACGTCCTGTGTAGTTCAGGGTTCCAGTTCAGGGTTTGTGTTCTGGAGAAGGCAATACACAAATGAAGAGACTGGAAAAGTATTAATTTGGCGATATTGGGGGCCAGGCGGGAGCCCACCTCTAGTGGGAGGACTACACGCTGCTCTGGCCTTTCTATTCCTTTTTACTGAGACTATGGGGAAACACCCATAGCCCTTGGGCAGGAAACTCCAATAACAGAAATTTACGTAAGACAACACAGGTGGAGACTGCTTCAGCTAACAATGTTTCAACTAAGCAGTGAGCAAACTAGCTCTGACCTTTCAGAGCAATGAACTAATAATGTTTCAACTAAACAGTGTGTAAACTAGCTCTGACCATTGAGAGCAATGAAGCTTGTTGACAATTATCAATTTTCGGCATCTCTTCTTTCTTCTTCTTTGAATAAATGGCTAGCACTATCAGAATGAATCTTTTGGAAAAATACAGAGGGGTTGGTTAGGTAGTGCTAAAAGAAATATAAACACACTAGGAGCCCAGTGCATGGATTCATGCACCAGTGGGGTCTCTCAGCCTGGCCTGTGCCCTCTTGTAATCCAGAACCCCTCAGGGAATGTAGTAGTGGCGGGCAGCTGGGGAGGAGTCTGAGCCCAGGCCAGGTGCTACACCATTCCTGCTCATCCTGGCCCCACTGCACCTGCTGCCGCCTAGTAGCATGCTGCCACAGAAGTGTGAGAGGCTCGCACCGCCACAGCTGTGCTCGCCAGCCAAGAGCCCAGCATCTGGCACCTGTTGGTCAGCTGAGCAGCACTCCTGCTATGGGAGCGCACTGACCACCAGGGGTCAGCTCCCACATTAAGACTCTGCCCCCCTGTTGGTCAGTGCACATCATAGTGGCTGGTCAAACGGTCCACCAGTCAAATGGCTGAGCAGTCTCTTAGGGTTTTATGTATATACTCGTGACCTGGTGCATGGATTCATGCACATTAAAAGGAAATTAATTAGAAGGTGACAAGCAGGGCAGGACTGGGGGAGAAGGGCCAGACATATCCTGGAGCCAACCTCCTGCAGTTCCTCCCTGGTCAGCAGCACCTGAGTGGCTCCATGGCTCAAAAGGCATCTGCGAAGTGAGTGGGACCCTCCAGCAGGTGGGGTCCCTTGGCCTGGCCTCTGGAGATCAGGCTGAAATTGGCTCTCTGACATTCCCTGAGGGGTCCTGGAGTGCAAGAGGGCACTTTGCAAAGTTGCTGTCGTACAGGGTATGGAATGCAAAAGCAAGTGTGCAGCAACAACATAACCCATGGTTGAAGGTGGAATCACACAACCCAGCAAGGAATCAGGCTCCCTCCTCTCTGGTTTTGGGGTGCATCACCTGAGAACCATCCCTGCCAAGTTACTGCACCTCACCAGCTCCTGTGCTGAGCGTCTGACCCCTGGTGGTCAGTGTGCATTATAACAATCCACCTGATGATGGAGGGAAGGACACTTAGCATATTAGCCTTTTATATATGTAGATAAATTGATGAACTAGGGAATTAATTTACAGCTATGGAGAAACCCAAGTTCACGAAGTCAAAAGTGATAACCCTGAAGGTGGTGACTGCTAATTGCTTAAGGCAAGATCTCCTTGTTATTTTTATTGAGAGATTCCCCCCCCTCCAAAGAGGTATCTTATGCGGACCCCCCTAATATCTAAAAGAGGAAATAAAATAAAGCAAATTCAGAATGACTGCAGTTAGGATGGTGTCCTATTTGTGAGACTTTAGAAAAGTGGTTCAACTTTTGAGATATGAGACTTCTTCGTATACCTTTATGAGGATCAAGTAAAGTGAATTTTACAAATTGAAAATCTGTAGATATTTTAATGTCAGTGGAAGATTCTGAGACAAAATTCTTAAGGATTAAAGAAAAATGTTTTTTTCTGATACACAATTTCAGCTAGCATGAGAAGTAGCAATACTTTAAGCAGGAAGAGCTTTTTTAATGCCCCTTAAATCATATGGTGTTTTAAGTTTCTAGGCTTGCTGATTTGAAAGGGTTTAAGTTGTTCAGAGAACTTTCTTTCTTTCTTTCTTTCTTTCTTTCTTTCTTTCTTTCTTTCTTTCTTTCTTTATTCCTTCCTTCCTTCCTTCCTTCCTTCCTTCCACTTTCCTTCCTTCCTTCCTTCCTTCTTTCCTTCCTTCCTTCCTTCCTTCCTTTCTTTTATTTAGGGTGGAGGAAGGGCTAGACATCTCCTTTCTCCTCCCTAATGGGCTGAGGGGTCATGCTCTTTTATGCAGATCTGGGAAGATGGGAGGTTGGGAGATAACCCGGAGAGGTGGTTTCTGGGTAGAGGATAAGGGATTGTTATTGTGCTTCAACCCTCAGGGCAGCCTCACTGTGACAGGAGACCCTGAAGTCTAAACCAGGGTCATGGAGGGCTCCGTGCTGAGCCCCACATCCTGGGAGAAGAGACGAGCCTGGCTCCGTCAGAGCCGTCACTGGCAGACCCAGGTCCTGGAAGAGGAGGCTGCAGCTGCCCTGCAGGATGTCCCAGATCCAGAGCCTTCCAGCCTGGATGACGTTTTCCAGGAAGGTAAGAAGCAGTCAGACATCAAACAGACTTCCAGTCTGTCTTTGGTAGGAAAAATGTGGCGACAGGCACAGACCTGCAGTGTGGGCAGTGGGTCCCTTGTTTAGGCTAGGGCCTCAGGGAGGCTCATTTTGACTGGCTTAAATAAGTTTAAAAGAAGAACGGTAAAGTAATACAATGTATGAATTATGTGAAATGGAGGCAGGCATGGGATTGGGAAACAGGAAGAGGCACAGTTTTGCATCATCCTGAGAAGCTGCCTGTAGGACCTGAGGCCAGAGTTCTCTGTAAATGTTTTGGGGTGTTTATTTTGTGTAACAAGGTTACACAACCCGAATGCCCAGACTCTTGCCACAACTTTGTCACCAACAAACTATGAGACCTTTAGCAAATCATTCACTGCTCTAAGACTTATTTGAATAATTTGAATAGTAACAGTACCTTTTCTATATGCCTCTCAAAGCTTCTTTGAGGTTCAAATGAGATTACAGCCATAAGAGGGGAGAAAATATTACATAAATAAACCCATCCTTATTTATTTAGTAGGAAACACAATTGCAATGTTGTGCTCTTTTTGTTTTATTTAATTGTTCTTTAAGGGGAAGGATCCACCCCTATTCCCAAACCGTGAGGGAAAGAGAGCCGTGGGCTTGATATACTGTGCATTTTCCAGAAGGAAAGGGACAGGGGGGCAGAGAGAAGAAATATCCATTTTTACGCTTTGGCTTATATAAGGATAAACTTGAGAATGGGGTGAGTTGTAGGGAGGGGGTCTGATTTCCTTCTGTTCTCAGTGATCTGACATCTGATTTTCCTAGGGAATCCAATCACTAAGATTGAGGACTGGCTTCAGGACTGTGGGTAAGTGCTAGAGATTTAGTGGGATTGAACACAGCTGATGGATGGGTATGCTAATAGGCACTGGCCCATGGAAACTCAGAAACAGGAAAATGGGTTTAAATTGGGGCTAATGTTTAGAAGTTAGGTTAAGGAAACAGGGGAGTAAAAGAGTTTGAGTGAGTGTGGGCATCTCTTGGATGAAATTAATTTATGGTGGAGGTCTGGAAATATAGGCTGGGTCTGGTCAAAAGCCAAGAATGATGGAAATCTGCAGCTTTGGGGAATGGCTGGGCTGAGTTCCAGGTTCCTTCGTTACTGCTTCTCCCTTAGACAGTCTAACACTCTGTAACAAAAAAGGTTAGAAACCTAATTGTTCTTATGACAGGGGTTGTCACTATATTGTTTATTTTTACTGCAGAACATAGGACAAAGAGCTAAGAGTTTACTCCAGTCATTCAAAGCAGTAAAGAATGGGAGCAAGTACTTCAAGGCAAAAAGTATTATGTCTTTCCTCTGGTTTGATTACTGGGCATGGCCTCTAGTTTGATCCCTCTCTTTCTCTCTAAAATAAATAAAAACATTTTTTTCTTTTTTTTAATATATTTTATTGATTTTTTACAGAGAGAAAGGAAGAGGAATAGAAACATCAATCAGCTGCCTCCTGCACATCTCCCACTGGGGTTGTGCCCACAACCAAGATACGTGCCCTTGACCGGAATTGAACCTGGGACCTTTCAGTCTGCAGGCCGACGCTCTATCTACTGAGTCAAACCAGTTTCAGCAAAAAAAAAAAATACTTTTAAAAACACTTTAAAATATGAGACCCCCACACCCATCAGCTTGTACCATTTTAGGCTCAGTCTTCTCAGAAACAGAAGGGAAGCTTCTGTGACCTATTTAAGCCTGATGATTTATGTGATAATGAATTCTCAGAATTTATAACTCCTGACTGCGCATTATTTCTCCTACAGGAATGGTTCAAGTTTTATGTAGCCTTTAATTTAAACTAATCTATGAACATATACAAAAACCCATCCTTGCTTATTTGGTAGGAAATAGATAGCACTGAATAGCCCAAGGTTGTTTATTTCAACTATGACCCAGAAGTTAATGCCAAGAAGGATTTATTTTGTGTTTTTATTGTTTACAAAACATATCATCCTTATAATCCTAATCTGGTTCACAACTCAATGACTTCAAAGTCAATTAAAAGTAATCAAAATATAGAGAAGCAAAGTGAATGTAGGGATGAGGACATTTGCACGTTTTGTTGTGTCCTAAGATTTAAAATGCTTCACTAGGCCCTAGCTGGTTTGGCTCAGTGGATAAAGGGTCAGCCTGCAGACTAAAGGGACCCATGTTCAATTTTGGTCAAGAGCGCATGCCCAGGTTGCAGCTCCATTCCCAGTGTGGGGCATGCAGGAGGCAGCCAATCAATGATTCTCTCCCATCATTGATGTTTCTTTCATTCTCCCCTCTTCCTTCCTCTCTGAAATCAATAAAAATATATTTTTTAAAAATGCTTCACCAGATTTGTAAAAGAGAACCAGTTGTCTCAGTTAATGAGATGTTAACTCATTAACTATTATCTTATCAATTCACATCAACAATTATTAACTGTGCATTTGCTAACTGTCTGATTGTCTAAATGATCTAGAGGGATGCCAACTAGTTTAAAATGTGCTGCTTGGCTTCAAAAACACTATATTTTACTTGAAAAGAATAAACTCACAGACATATAAGATTGTAAACTTCAGAAATCACCTTTCCCCACCTGTATTCTACAAAGATAAACCCTGATACAAAACATATGCTGAAAATGTAGCCTGGTAGTGGAAAAACTCCAAGATTGGAGCCTAATTTTTTTTCTTTTTGCTAATTGTCTGTGTAAACAAACAACTGAAATTCTTTTTATCTCAATTTCCTCACCTATAAAGTGAGAACTAGAATAATAATTTCAAAAGTTTCAAAAGTTTTCAAAGATTTAAATGACATGATGTATATACAAGAGCTGTTTGCTCTGTAGTAATATGTGAGTGGTAAGGCTTCTAAAGTGGAAGCTTTATGCTACTTTAAAATTTCATAAAATAAATCTGACTATCTCTGTCTATCTCTCTATCTATCTATCTATCTATCTACTAGAAGCCTGGTGCATGAAATTCATGCACAGGGGTGAGGGTGGGTAGTATCCCTCAGCCCAGGCCTGCACTCTCTCTAATCTGGGATCCCTCAAGGGATGTCTGACTGCCTATTTAGGCCTGATCCCCATAGGATCGGGCTTAAACAGTCAGACATCCCTCTCACAATCCAGGTGAGCAGTTGGGAGCCAGCTGCTCACCTGCCTACCTTCCTGATTGCCCCTAACCACTTCTGCCTGCCAGCCTGATCACTCCCTAACTACTCCCCTGCCAGCCTGATTGATGCCTAACTGCTCCCCTGACAGCCTGATTGCCCCTAACTACTCTTCCCTGCAGGCCTTGGTCCCCTGTAACTGCCCTTCCCTGCAGGCCTGGTCACTCCCAACTTTCCTCTCTTGCAGGCCTGGTCACTCCCAACTTCCCTCCCTTGCAGGCTTGGCCCCTTCCAATATCCCTCCCCTGCTGGCCATCTTATGGTGGCCATCTTGTGTCCACATGGGGGTGGCCATATTTGACCATATGGGGGCAGCCATCTTGTGTGTTGGAGTGGTGGTCAAATAATTCTTTTATTAGGATATATTCATCTCTTTATCAGAAAAGTATGTCCAGATGTGATTAGCTCCAGGATAGTGGTTACCTCAAGGAAGGAAGAAAGTAGGAAGGAATAGGGAATAAAATGAGACTAATTATATCTTCAACATTTTATTTTTTATTAACAGATATGAAGCAAATATGACAAAATGTTTACATGTGTGAAGATAGGGTGTCAGATGCAAGAGTATTTGTCACATTTTCTTTATTCTGTGTTGAAAAAAATTCAATATTTAAACTTCAAAAAGGCCACAAGGAAGTCTATTATAAGCAAGCTTACATTTTTCTTCGGAAAAGGAATTATTAGGTTCTTAAAATATTTTCAATATTTTCTATTTTCTAATCCTCCCAAATAAATTTGTAATAGTTTTAATTATATGGGAAAATCAGAAAAATTAAAGGATGATGATGGATGCTAGTGAGGCAATACTTGATTTTGATAATAGGCAATAAAGAAGATGTGATGAAATGTATTCTAAATATGACCTTCTGAGTTACCACCGTCCTGATCGTTAGGCTGCCAAGGCCACAGAGGAAAGAAGATGGATAAGAAACCCCCATTCGCTAATTATCTGTACACTCTGGGAGGCACTTTTCAAATTTTATTTCAAGACCATATAGTTTCCACCTTCTTTTCAATGCCAAACACCCTCTGGTAGCAAGAGGGCTTTGTTTTATGGCAAGTTTTCCAAGAAAGTCCACCATCTTCCTTGGTAATTTAGTGTCAGTGTCTCTCGAAGTAATTGAATCTAGTAGCAGACCCTTCTGCTGCAGATTTAGATTGTATATGTCTTTACAAACTATACCTCTCCCTTTTTCTTTCTTTTCTTAGGCTCTCAAGGGATTTTTTTAGAGCATGAATGTGTTACTTGTAATCATCAGAGGTAGGATCAGGAGCCCCAAAATCCTGTATGGACTTCAGTTTAAAATCTCTGCACACTTTATGTAAATTGCTAGGGGAAGCTAAAAATAGCCACATGCTTCTTCTCATAATCCAATCCACCTCCTTACTCTTTCTTTATTAATTAGGTATATAGGAGAACAGTACTTCGGCTCTTGTATTTCAGACTTGAAATGGGACCTTTCAATAAAAAGGTGGAGAGAGCTGCAGTTATGGATCTAGTCCCCAATCATTGGTATTATGTCTTAAGCAATAATCCATGAAAGGCCTAGGACTTAGGTAATGAATATGATGTTTCAAATTAACATTCTCAGTGAGAAGGCATCAATAAATCCAGGCCCACATTCATATGTCTGTGGCAGATCCCACATACACATAGAAAAACCTACTGTCAGATCCAGAGACAGAAAAGCATTGAACAGACTGTCAAATCTCAAAGGGAAGGCAGGAGGAGGTGGGGGAATGGCTGGAGATCAACCAAAGGGCTTATATGCATGCATATAAGCATAACCAATGGACACAGACACAAGGGGAGTAAAGGCATGTGCTGGGGGGGCGGGGCGGCAATGGGATGGAAAGGAGACATATATAATACCTTAATCAATAAAGAATAAAAAAAGAAAAGAAAAGCCTACTATCATCCTGGGCTAGTCCTCATATAAAGAATATGGACATGTCTGCCTGGGTATAACTAGAAAAGAAAAATATAGGGTGAACACCCAATGAACACTTATATCTAATGAATAATAGCAATTTTTCCTTTGGACAGACTAGAAAGTTTATCAGTGGTATTTTTAATGTAAATCTTATTGAAGTGTAGCATACATACCATGTTTCCCCGAAAATAAGACATCCTCCGAAAATAAGACCTAGCGCATGGAAAGATAATACATCCCCTGAAAATAAGACCTAGTGCAACTTTGGGAGGAAAAAATAATATAAGACACTGTCTTATTTTCGGGGAAACAGGGTATTAGTAGCATTTCTTTTTCTAATGTAAATTGTAATACAGTTCAATGGCTATACATTTCAGTTATGCTAGATAAGTAAATCTAGATATCCATTATACAGCAAAGTGCTTATAGTTAACAATATGGTATTGAGCACTTCAAAATTTATTAAGAGGATAGATCTCATGTTGTGTTCTTACAAAAAAAAAAAAAAACAACCACGCAAAGGGAAAGAAGGAAGCTTAGAGCTTGGGATATGTCTGCTACCTCGATTGGTGATGGTATCACAGGTGTTTGCATATGTCCAAACTCATCACATTCTATACCTTAAATATGTGCAGTTATTTGTATATTAATTATACTTCAAGCTTTTAAAAAATGATATGCATTATACTGAAGTATAAACTATTTACTGAAAAAATAAACAACTATTAAATAGTGCAAGGAATTTTCCCAAAGGGAATATACCCATAAAATCTGCAGTGTGACATTACCAGCACTTCAGAAGCTCATTTTGGTCCCCTTCCATTCATACTCTGCTTCCAAGGTACTTACTAGTAGCCTGGCTATGGCATCATAGATAAGTTTTGCAGTTGTTTTTTTTTTTAACTTTATAGGCATAGAATCATATAACATGTGCTGTTTTATGTATATTTACTTTGTTCAGCATTATGTTTGCGATGTTCATCCATGTTTTTCAAGCAGCAATAGGTCATACTTTTTATTGTTACATAGCATTAAATTGTTTTTTATTCCACAATTTTTTGGTAATAATTGGAGATTTGTATCTTTCATTTGTGGGATATTATGAAAATCATTTCTTCTGGTGAACATATTCAGGTATTTCTTTTCCACTGAATATATATATGCCCAAAAGTGCAACAGTAGTGTGTTTTTATTGTAGTTATAATAATAGTTGGTTTTAATAGCTGCATTACTGTGTAGCTACAGCACAAACATTCAATGCAATAGTAAATTTCAGTATTCTAGTGCTTGACTATATTGATTATCTTTATGCCTATGTTTTTCCCACTCTCTACTTCTTATTATTACAGCAATCCCTTTACCATTTCTTGCAATTCTGGTTTGGTGGTGATAAACTTCTTTTGCCTCTTTTTGTCTGAGAAGCTCATTTCCCCATATATTTTGAATGATAGATAGCCTTGTTGGATATCATTATCTTGGTTTTAGATCCTTGCTTTCCATTACCTTGAATACTACAAGCCATTTCATTCTGGCCTATAGAGTTTCTGATGAGAAATCATCTGACAGCCCTATTGGAGCTCCTTTGTAGGTAACAAATTGCTTTTCTCTTGCTGCCTTTAAGATTCTCTCTTTGTCTTTAACTGTTTGCATTTTAATTATAATGTGTCAGGGTGTGGGCCTTCTTGTTCTCCTTGCTTGGGACTTTCTGTGCCTTTAAAACTTGTGTGACTTTTTTACTTCACCGGGTTAGGGGAGTTTTCTGTCATTATTTCTTCAAACAGGTTCTCTAATCCTCGCTTACTTTCTTCATCTTCTGGCACTCCTATGATGAGAATATTATTATGTTTCATATTGTCCCACAACTCCCTTAAGCTGTCCTCCCTTCTGTTTTTTATTTGCTTTTTCTTTTTGGTTCTCTGATTGAATGATATTTTCTACACTGTCTTCTAATTCACTGACCAAATCCTCAGCTTCCCCTAATCTGCATAGTCCATCTAATGTGTTCTTTATTAGTTCTATGTCATTCTTTATTCCTGACTGGTCATTTTTTCATAGTTTCTATGTCTTTTCTCATGCTATTGAGCATCCTAATAACCATTATTCTGAACTCTATATCTGATAAATTTCTTTATCTCAATTTAACTTAGCTCTTCCGGAGAATTCTCTTGTTCTTTCACTTGGAGTTTATTTGGTTTTTTGTCTCCCCATTTTGACTGCCTATAGGGGTTTGTGTCTGTGTATTAGGCAGATCTGCTATGTCTCTGAGACTTTAGTGTAGGACAATATCAGACACTGTTTATGACTGGACTGTTTGGAATCTTCTTGCTAGAGGCCAGACACTGTTTGTGACTTGCAGAACTGAGCCTATTTGGGTTTTTGCCAGATGTCAGACACTGTTTGTGACTGGCCCTAAGTACTATTTGAAACTATCAGCAATCCACAGCTTGTGGCTCCCTCTGCTAGGTCTGGACCAAGATGTGCACCAACGTCTGCCTTTCCTAGCCCCAGATCCAAAAAGAGGTCAGGCAAAGACTCAAAGCCTACAGAATGCCTCTTCCTAAAGTCTGGTTTTTGTTTTTGTTTTTTGTAGAGTCCCCTCCCCTCCCCCCAGTTTTAATGTGTCTCAGGCTATAGAACACAGCCAGGGATAGACTCCACAGGGTGGGGTGTAAGATTTTCCAACAGGATAGGTCAATTGCTCCAAAAGCTTCCTGGCTAGTAAAGCTTAGTCTGAGAAGTATGTCCTCTGCAGTATTGTGGAATGACACAGCGCAGAAAGCTAGGGTGACTGCCTTCTGGATTCTTCTCACACAGTTATAGTCCACTCTGCTCTCCCTCTGCCAGAGCCCAAGACTAGTGACTGCACACAAAATTTTGTGCATTGGCCCTTTAATAGTGTGTCTGCATTTCCAGCTGTCTCTGGCTGACATATAGCAACCCCTCTTCTTTCCACAACCAGATGTTATATGGGTATCGTTCTCAACTCTGGTACACTGGGCTGGAGAACCCTCCTTGGAGTTTAGACCCCAGAGATCTCTGTGAGAACACCCTACAGCTGAGCTATCTCTCTGGAACTTCAGCTGCTATCTGTGGGAGCCTGGCAAGCCCTCTTGAACCTCCACACTTCCTACCAGTCTATCTATGGTCTCCACTTCCTGTCCTTGGTTATCCGGGTTCTCTCCCAGCTGGTCTTTAGTTGATTATTCAGAATGGTTTTTCTGTATTTTAGTTATAATTTGAGTTTGGTCCTGGAAATTCCAGCGAACCAAAGAAATCTCAAGCTATTGGAGCATCACTTCATGAAATGTTTAATAATAGCAATGTGTATAATTGCAATTTGGTCCTGGGAAAGTGTCAGTATAGCTTCCACTTAATCTGCCACCATTTTGGAACCATCTATACTACTTATCATAGTGTTTTAGTAATAATTGTAAATATTTATTTGTACTAATATTTGTAATATTATATATACAACATATTTTAATGTTATATTATATATTTATGTAGCCCTAGCCAGTGTTACTTAGTGGTTAGAGTGTTGGCCCATGGACTGAAGGGTCATGGACTTGATTCCTGTCAAGGGAATATACCTCAGTTGCAGGCTGGATCCCCAGCTCTGGTCAGAGAGCATGTATGAGGCAACCAATCAATGTGTCTCTCTCACAGCTATGTTTTTCTCTCTGTGTCTGTCCTTCTCCCTTTCACTCTCTCTAAAAAAAAAAAAAATCAGTGGAAAAATATCTTTGGATGAGGATTAACAATAACAAATATAATATATATATATGTAATAATGTTATATGTGTAATAAAATAATGGTTTATGTATAATATTACATATTAGAAAGAAAAGTATATATTTTTAGTTCAAGTTATAGTATTAGAGGTACCTATTCTCAATTAGCTTTGATATATCATTTCACATTCTATATCATACCTTTTTTTAAAGTATATTTTATTGATATTTTACAGAGAGGAAGGGAGAGAGATAGAGAGTTAGAAATTTCGATGAGAGAGAAACATCAACCAGCTGCCTCTTGCACACCCCCTACTGGGGATGTGCCCGCAACCGATGTACATGCCCTTGACCGGAATAGAACCTGGGACCTTTCCCTCTGCAGACCGGCGCTCTATCCACTGAGCCAAACCGGTTTCGCCTCTATATCATATCTTGATTAACTGTTTTATTTCATAGGAACATATAAAAATACAGAATTCGGAAAACAGGGTTGATTTTTTTCACTATTGAAAGCAAAGTACCAATAAAAGAAGTCTGTAAATATACATAATGATTTATTTTATAAAATTTTAAACACAACTAATCTACAGATGTTCAATTAGTTTACTCATTGCCATTATTAAGCATTTCATGAAGTGATGCTTCAATAGCTTTAGATTTCTTTGGATCGCTGAAAACTGATCAAGGAGAAGCCTCAGCTAAGACCATTCCAATGGAACAGATGCACTCCAATCCATTTTCCTGATAACTCACTTTACCAGGCCTTCTCTGCTCCATATGAGATTACATTCAAAACATCATGTGCAACTTCCAGTTTAAAACTCCCAAGAAAGCAAACTCTAGAAAACTCACAACACATCAGTGCTTGAAGTGGGCTTAGAAAATAATATCTAGGCATCCAATCCTCTGTGTAATGTTTGAAAACATAACAATAGCAAGGAGCCAGGACTAGAATCCCGATATTCTGGTGCCAGTTCAAAGGTTTTTCCACAAGCTACTTCACTCACCTGTTTTAGACAGAGAATTTCTTCCTTGTTTATAAAACTGAGTAGTTTCTCACTAACATTTATGCTGATTTCCATCTGTTTTTCTTCTGCAGATGGTAAATGTTGGATAAGCTCATATCTTAAAATGTAAAAATATAATCTCTAACCAAGAGGCGGTTTCTGCTGCTTCCTGAAAAACATGATATTCTGCAAGAATATGACTCAGAGAGAAGAAAGGGGGTGTGGGTAGATAAGATGACCTCCTACAAGTTTTTTTTAAATATCTATATTTTCTTTGTGATGTGGAAATTATGCACCCAAATCCCTGCTTCTATAAATGTATTTATCCAGTTTTGCTTCTATATTCCTTACCTAGGAACTTACTTGAAGAATTGTTGCTAAGCTAACATTAGACAATGTGGTCAAATACAATGGCAGCACTGCAGTGCCAGCTTCTCCTGACCACCTCCATACATTTGTCAAATAACCACTCTGTCTTGTTTTCTTCAACATAAAATGAATTTAAATTCTACTGGCTCCCATAGGAAAATTATGTGAATCTGCAGCACATATCTAAATGCAAAATGTAGTGATTTTAACCTATAAAATTATGTTTGGTTTTTAGCTACTCTGAAGAAGGGTTTATTGAGGAAGCCGGACCTTCGATCTACAATGGTGAGTAAAGACTCTGTTCTTTCTTCTATTGATCTTCCACCTTGATATGAGATGGCTGTATATGTTTGTGTCTGAGTGTACCAATAAAAGAAGTCTGTAAATATATACAATATTTATTTTATAAAATTTTAAATTTACTATTTGGCAGAGACTTGTGTATGTGACTATGTGATGTAGGAAACAGGTTAATTATAGATGAAGTATGTGTGATTCTTTCTGAGTCAAAATATGAATGTCGGAGGGAGGATCCAAGATGGCTGCACAGGTAAACACCTAACTGCAGCCTCACACAACAATTTCAATAAAATACAACTAAAATATAAAATGGACATTGCCCAGAGCTACAGGAAGTCGACTGACTCAAAATATGAATGTCGCCGAAACCTGTTTGGCTCAGTGGATAAAGCGTCGGCCTGCGGACTGAAAGGTCCCAGGTTTGATTCCGGTCAAGGGCATGTACCTTGGTTTTGGGCACATCCCCAATAGGGGGTGTGCAAGAGGCAGCTGATTGATGATTCTCTCTCATAGATGTTTCTAACTCTCTATCCCTCTCTCTTCCTCTCTGTAAAAAAATCAATAATATATATTTAAAAAATATGAATGTCGCCGAGACCGGTTTGGCTCAATGGATAGAGCGTCGGCTTGGGGACTGAAGGGTCCCGGGTTCGATTCCGGTCAAGGGCATGTACCTTGGTTGCAGGCATATCCCCATTAGGGGGTGTGCAAGAGGCAGCTGATTGATGACTCTCTCTCATCAATGTTTCTAACTCTCTATCTCTCTCCCTTCCTCTCTGTATATAATCAATAAAATATATTTAAAAAATAATAAATAAATAAATAAATAAATAATATGAATGTCATCTTTGAGGTAGTGTATGTATGTACAGCTTGGGGTAGTTTTGCAACCATGTAGATGTCTGATGTAACTGTGGGGGAGGGGAAAGATGTGGGGGTGTCTAAGTCTGATTTTCTGTTACCTTTGCCTTATTATTTGACAGGGTGCCCTAGCCGGGGAACCAGCTTTGAAGATGACTTGACCCTTGGAGCAGAGGGTAAGTATCACAGCTCTCTGAGAATGAAATTGAATAAAAGACTATACAGGATGGAAGGGAATAACTGCAGAATGAAGCAGCCCATTCCTAGCATCTCATCCATTGGGACAGAACAATCTCAATAGCATCTGATGTGAAACTCAGAAAACATCATGTGCCCAAAAACACTTCTGCACCAACCTATTAGGATGTCTATTGGTCCACCATTGGAGCTTTCCTTTGGACCCTGGAAAGACAACATATAAAACCATGATAACATTGGCTGCCCAGACATCTTTGAAATGGTTCTCTGTGTAGGAAACCCAATGCTGCCTCAGTCCTGGATGTGAGAGAAACTGCATTGCAGGAAGATAAGGGCTTGACTAAAAGATGGAGGAATAGCAACTTACTACTATATCTGAAGATACTCCTATGGTGTGATAGAAAGTCTAGCCTGGAGAGCTGAATGAGTCTATGTTTCTTGGGACAGAGGAACTCTCATCTAGAAACCAGTCATGGCTCAGAGGCTCAGCGCCAATTTTTCTCTGCCATATTAGTCCACCTTCCAGGCCTGTGTTTGATAGTCTTTAGATAAACTCGTAAAGAGTGGAATTCATGGGGCAGTGGCAGAGATGAACAGAAGGGGACTAAGTTTTAAGTTCAGAGGAGCAGATTCAGTGATTTTTATTTTTTCTTCTAACTTTCTCTTTGCCTTTCTGTTCCTTGCCCAGCCACACTGATGGCCGCTAATGGCAAACTCTTCTCCAGGTAAGTATAAGGTCAGCCGGAGCTACTGAATTGGGGTAAATGTCATAGTAAAAAAAAAAAAATTAAAAACAAAGAGCTAAACATGTGCAATATAGTGAAATTTCCTAATCAGGAATGAAGTCACAGACTGAATTTTCACAGTACATGGTTCAAAGGTACCCAGCAGGAGTGTCTTGCAGCCAGGGTACAAACTGCTTATAAGATTAGTATGACGTCATCTCTGATCCCTGCAGAAATTTCCTGGGGACAGCCCGGCCCTGCCAGCTACTAGATCTTGGCTGCAGTTTGGCTTCCAGCAGCATGACTGGTGGGACCAACAAGACTAGTTCAAGGTAGGTACCAAGTTTGATAGGGGTAGAAGGATGGGGAAAACGAGAAGCAGAAAAGAATGGAACTGAGAACCATTGCCCATTTTTTCTGGCATATCTTTCTGGAGCTTTTATGCAGTCAAATACTTGAGAAGTTTGACCATATTTGCTTCAAGAATGGTGAGGAATGCAGAGAAATCTACTGCTCAGAGTTAGATGCTATGTGTGAAATAGCAGGTGTCTTTCCATTGAACTTTATACCACAGGAGGTGTAATATTGGTACCATCACAATTCCTGGGCTTAGTATTACTAAGTGTTAAATAAAAAATCAATAAATGTGTTGATTAACTGTCTGATTTATTGATTGAATGAAGCAATAAAATATTGATTAATTCAGGCAGATTTATATCCCCTAATGCAAGCCAGACAATGACTGTGTGAAATTTTAAAAGATGAAGAAGACAAAGAGCTTGCCCCCATAATTCAGCAGTTCAGTAAAGTGAATAAAATAACATGCAAATGCCTTTAGAACAAGATTGGAAAGTGATGAAAACTAGTGTGGTATAATTAAAAGTGGGAATTTTAAGTCAAATTTTTTGTTTTATGTTTTCTAAAATTGATTTCAAAGAGAGGGAGGGAGAGGAAGAGAAATAAAAACATCAATGATAAGAGAGAATCATGGATCAGCTGCCTCCTGCATGCCCCCTACTGGGGTTTGAGCCTAAACCCAAGCATGTGCTCTGGCTGGGAAGCAACCAAGACCTCCTAGTTCATGGATGATGCTCAACCACTGAGCCATACCGGTCAGACTCCAGTAAAAAAGGGGAATCTGAGAACTGGTTCTGAGACTTATTAACCATATAACTATGTATAGTGACTTGTCGTTACAGAGCCCTATCCCTGGCCACACTCCAATTCAATTAAATCAGCATCTCTTGAGATAAGACTCAGACATCTTCATGTTTTAAAGCCCCCTGAAAGTGATTCTAATATGCAGCCTTGGTTAAGAACCAATACTCAGACTTAGGCCCACAATTCAGAGAGAGAAACTTGGGACCATGGAAATAAAATCAGCACTTAGGTAACAAACCTAGTAGTAGAGCCAGGGATCCCAATTATCCAGCTGTTAAACAAGATGCTACCTATTTGGATCAAAGAGCCATCATCTTTTCTGAAGAGAGTGAAAGTGTTTATTCAAAGTCTCAAATAATTCACATTCCTCCCATCCCTATTGTTGTTTAAGATGCATAGTTATTGAGCTCTGTGTCACTCAGCCTGGTGGAACACGCATTTGAATACAGATACTTTTTGGTGTCATGAAGAGAGAATACTTGATCTTCTGTAATGCAGGGCTTCTGTACTGAAAATGGAGCAACAGGAACAGGGGTTTACCTCTCAAAATCAGATTTTGAACATACCTACATAGTAGGTCTTCAAATAAAGTTTTTTTGTTCAATGCTATTTTGTTACAACATTGATGAGATGACATAGGAACTTAACAGTTGTTTCTAAGAATTAGCCTATGGTAAATTTGATTTCACTATATGTTGTTTTGCTTAAAGTCACAGAACCTATCGATGGCAGTTAGTGAGGACCTATCGTATTGAAAATTTTTTACCCTCAGAGTGAGACTATAATGAGTATTGTGTTCCCTACCCACACATTCTCTAATTGTCCCACACAACTGCTAAGGGTAAATGAGGTGGCAAGTTGCAAAGCACTTGGCAAAAGCCAGCCATGTCATAGTACATAGGTTCAAGTGGGAACTGACTGGTTAATAACACAACCACAGATTTCTTTGTATCTTTACTTACTTAGATAGTTCAGATCCTCTCATAGTATATTTTCATTAGCCTGTAATCATTTATTCAAAGTCCTATGATAGGATTTCATTCAATTTTTAAACCAGAGCTGTATTGTAATCCCCATGTTTCAGACAGAAAATTTGTTCAGAGAAATAAAAGTTTTTCTCAAAGTCAAAGATAATTGGATTACCCTGTGCCTCAAAATTGCCCCTACTTACCCAAATTTTCTTTTTCCAGCATCTCTGAGATTCTGGACAAGGTGCAAGAGGATGCAGAAGATGTCCTCTTCAGTCTGGGCTTTGGTCAGGAGGACCACAAAGACACTTCTCGGATCCCTGCCCGATTTTTCACCAACCCCTCCCAGGCCAGAGGCATTGACTTCCAGCTCTTCCTGAAGGCCCAGGTGCAGAGGATTGAGATGGAGGATCCATGCCTCATGCTGGCCAGTGAGTGTTCCCACAGATCCATGCTCTGCTTTTTCCTGAACCTCCAGACAGGGATCAATGGAGCCAAATCCTGCTTTCTGTCGATTAGCTTCATTTGATTCTTTGTCTCTTGTGTCTATTTTCCCTTATACTGTCTTCAGTGAAGATGGATAACATTGACATCTTTTTTTCATAGGTTTTTCCTCCAGAGAAAGAATGGCTCAGGGATATTTATTTTAAACAAGCACACAGATGATTATTGTGCAATCCCTAGACCACATCTAGGGAAACAATAATTTAAGTTATACTAGTACTGGTTTCATACTAAGGAAAGATATGAGAGGGCTTTTCTACTGTGATGAGGTATAAAAGATTCTATTTAGTTCTGTATATTAGAATATATTTCAAATTATATTCTGCTACACCGAAAACTAGATGGTGTTTCTGACAGTGTTGTTTCAGATTCTTTGTTTCAGATTCAACTTAGAAGTTCAGTAAAACTAGCCTCCTGGGCGACTGAAACAAGAGTTTTGAGTGGGAGTATTTTCACACCTTAGAGGATTCTTTGTCACACTCTTTTGAGTATAGTTTATTGAATTTGTCGTATGTACCAAGTACATAATTATGTGTTAAATTCTGGAATAGCAATAGCTAGACAAGAGGAACATGACTCTTGCCTTCAGGAAGATAACAGTTTAATGGCTTTATGGTTTATCACAGCACTTTTCAAACATGGATGTGCACATGAATTACCAGAGGATATTGTTAAAATGTATGGGGTGCAGTCAGATTCTGTATTTATAACAAGTTACCAAGCTATGCTGATGCTTCTGGACTACTAGCCACACTTTGAAAAGCAAAGGTCTAATAGAAGTGATAGAGTTCATCTAAATTTCTCTACTCTAGTTCATTGCCTAGTCATTGCTATCCCTCAAATTTGTTGCCTTTTATAATCCTAAAGTTTTGTTACTAAAAAAAAAATAATAATGCTGATTTTGTAAACTTATTTTTTTAAATATGTTTTATTGATTTTGTACAGAGAGGAAGGGAGAGAGATAGAGAGCTAGAAACATCAATGAGAGAGAGTCATCAATCAGCTGCCTCTTGCACACCCCCTACTGGGGATATGCCCGCAACCAAGGTACATGCCCTTGACTGGAATCGAACCTGGGACCCTTCAGTCCCCAAGCCGACGATCTATCCATTGAGCCAAACCAGTTTCAGCTTCTTTTTTGTTTCTAAAGCAAACATAATGCTAGAAGTCATTGTTTAGAAAATACTGACAACAGAAAGATATGCTAACTCAAGATACAGAAATGTTTCTCATACCATATAGAATTAATTTTTGAACTAAAGTAAATTAATTACTTGGTGTGGGAAGTCAAGAAATCAGGAAAGTGGAAGAACACTTAACTTTGGGTGGTGAACACATAATACAATATACAGATGATGTATCATAGAATTGTATACTTAAAATCTTTGTAATTTTATTAACCAATGTCACCCCAATAAACTCAATGAAAATTAAAGAAAAATCAAGAAAGGGGAATCTGAGTGTAAAAAATCTAAATAGGAGAAATGCTAGTGGAGAAATTGATATCTTCTCTCTGAATTTTAAGTTTAGGAAGGCTATTGAAGTGAGAAATTCAAGAAGTAATTTGCTGATAGCCTCCCAGACTCACTGTTTTCAACCCTTGTACCCAGGCAGATTTAAGCAGGTGCAAACACTGGCTGTTACTGCTGATGCCTTCTTCTGTCTCTACTCTTATGTGTCTAAGACACCTGTCCAAAAGTTCACACCATCCCACATGTTCTGGAATTGCAACCCAACTGATGTGCCATCCATCAAGATTCTGGCTCCAGAACCTGAACCTCACTCACCCAGAGATCGCCTCCGGAAAGCCATCTCCAAAATGTGCCTATATACATGCCCCCGCGTTCAGTTGTCACCACCCCACAATACCTCCAAAAGGAACAGTTTGGACCAAGTGGTGTGGGAAGTGATGGACAGAGTGAGAGGAGAGAAGCTAATTCTTCAGCAAGACCCTGAATTTGGTCCAGGCTCACAGGAAGGTCCTGTGCCCCCCATCAGGCGTACAATGTTGCCTACTTCTTGTTCATGTGTCCTCTGCCCTAAAGATGAAACACAGCAGGGGATGTCCACAGTGTGCGAACCATTGCAAACTCTGCATTCTAACCCCAAGTTACCCTGTTGCACACATTCTCTGCCCAGAGCAAATCTACAGTGGAACACAGACTCTGCACAGGTAAAGAGAGAGTTGTGGGGTCTCCAGGCCACCAATAAAGAGGTCCACTTGGTCAAGGATGAGACTTTCTGGAAAAGGAAGAGCAGAGCAAGAAAGAGCCTGTTTCAGAAGAATTCCACTGTCAGGAAGGTTCACTCATTGGATCTATCCATCGTCCAACAGAAATGGAAGCAGAACCAAGAGAGGCCAGAACTGTGTCGATCTCTAACCCATCAGCTGCAGGACACTTTTGACTTGGAAGAGGTGAGTAGATTGGAGATGAGGAAGAGCCTAGCAGAGAAAGACTCTGAATTCTTGTCCTTGGCTAAATAAAATCCAGGCTCCATGTCCTTATCAGATATACAATTCTTGAATTACACTCCGAGACCTTTGGGAATGAGTTAACATAGAAGGAGAAAAAGAAATAGGCCCAGTTTCTTACAAGTATTCAGATTTCCAGAACTGCTTTTCTCATTCCTCATCTTATCTGAGCTTCCTGAAGTTTCTCATCAAGCACTCTTGTGGGATCCACACAAGAGCAGAGGTCAGTTACACACTAAGCTAACACTATTAAATAAAATATTTTCTCTTCTACCTTTACAAATATGTAACCATAAAGACCTGAAAGTCCAGGTTCAAATCTAGAATTCTCAGACTCTTAGGACTTCTATAGCACATAACAGTGTGGGTAGAGCCACACTCCAGCCCCTGGCCTGTCCTCTTCTCCTCCCATGCCAACATCTGTCCTGAACCATCAGAGATTTCATACACAAGTGTGTGAACATGCCAGACATCCCAGCCTCATACCCTCTATTTCCACAAATAGCCATCCATTGGCCATCACTCAGGCTCAGGAGTGTATATACTAATACAGAGAATGGCTTTTTTTTTAAATATATATTTTATTGATTTTTTTACAGAGAGGAAGAGAGAGGGATAGAGAGCCAGAAACATCGATGAGAGAGAATCATCGATCAGCTGCCTCCTGCACACCCCCCACTGGGGATGTGCATGCAACCAAGATACATGCCCTTCACTGGAATTGAACCTGTGACCTTTCAGTCCACAGGCTGACACTCTATCCACTGAGCCAAATTGGTTTCGGCGAGGATGGCTCTTGAGAGGACAGATACCAGGAAAAACCAGTTCAGTTTACTGAAGCGGACTTGGGCCATTTGGGCAGCACATTTAGGAGTCTGAGTAACTGATGTATGGTCTAGACAGGGTAGTGTAGGATCGAGTATCCACCAATCTTTACTCCATGGACTTTCAAAAGCTCAGGACTCATCTTGCCTAGATCTATAGCTGTGCCACCAAATACAAGGGTTTCTTGGAAAAGCTCTCAAGTCTTTGCCATAATGAGAAGCTGTGATAATTCAAAATATCATTTGCATGTATGTCACCTCTCACTGAATGTAGAAAGCAACCTCAGCTCCTGCCTTCCTCACTACCAGACTCTTGCCAAAGGAGAAGAGACCAAGTCTCTCAAGCACACTCAGCCTCCTTCCCCTATAGCTGCCTAACATCCTGCACCTTTCCCACCAGTGGTTCTAATTAGTTCTGGGATCTTGGTTACAGGTGCAAAGCAACAGTGAGGAGGATGACGAAGAGACACACTGGGCCAGCAGACACACACACCCTCACCTCTACCATCCTTTTGTTGGCAAAGACTCAAGAAGTAAGTTTCAGGTTCTCTCTCTCTCTCTCTCTCTCTCTCTCTCTCTCTCTCTCTCTCTCTCTCTCTCTCTCATTCTCCAACCTGGCTGCATATCATAATCATGTGGGAATATTTTTTTAATACTCACAATGAGGAGTCCCACATCCTGAAATCCTGATTTAATTGGGATGGCATGGAAACCAGTGGCGGATATTTTGTTTTTAAGCTCCTAGGGCAATTCTATTATGGGTAGATAAATACTTCTCTAGATCCCCGATTCTCAGACATTAGCATTAGAATCATCAAAGGATTTGTTAAAATAAAACCCAGTTCCCAGAGTTTCTGATTAAATAGGTCTAGACAGGGCCTGAAAGTATGCATTTCTAACAAGTTCCCAGGTATTGCTGATGCTGCTGGTCTGGAGACCGCAGTCTGAGAACTGCTGTTCTGGGGAAAATCCTATATAACCTTAATATTAAAAATGTAGTCTACAGGCCAGCAGCATTAACATCACTTGGAATTTTGTTAGAAATTTGGAATCCCAGCTCCTATCTGATGAATCACCATTATATCAAGACCCTTAGTGATTCTTTTGCACAATAGAGTTTGAAAAGCATTGTAGAAGTTTTGTAACAGTTGAGGAACGATCATGGAGGTTTACATGCCAGCACCTACTTTTTTAGCTGCATCTTAATCAGCCCACCTCATAGCACTTAGGAAAGACTCCTCAGTGTATCTCACAGCTTTGTTCATTTAGGCTCTGAGTTCCTTTCTGCAGCAAGGGTCTGATGTCGAATCTCACATACATTATTATTGCTGCTAAAATGTCTTTCCTCGTGATGTGAATTTTGAATGTTAACTCTTTCAGAGGCATCCCCTATACATTTGAGCATTTGGCCAAAAGATTTATTATTTAAACTAAGTGAAACTTAATCTCCTATAGTTTTTACTACCTATATCTCAGAACCACAGAGAAGATGGCATTGGAGATAATAACTATTGCAAGATAGTAGGAGTTGAAACCTTTCTTGAATTAAGTAGATGAATAAAGATTCATCAGACTTAGAGTTCCCTTCATTGTGCATATCTTAGAACTATTTACTGCACTTCCTAGCACAATACCTTTTTTTGTGTGAAAACTCCAAAATTTCAATGTTATTAGTCCATAATCACAAAGATCTCTATAATTCTCTTTTAATTCAAATAATCTGTGGCTTGGAGCCCTAATGGCTCTTCTTTCTCTCTTACTCATTACCTCCATTTCCAGGTATACAGATTAGTGACTCACAAAAGAGGTAAATGTCAGAAGACAGCAATATGTTATATACAGTTGAAAAAATTTAAGACATGGAGTCAAATGACATACCTCATATAAGTTCTTTCAGAAATCACTTTAGTTTTGTCCTATGAAATAGGAGAATCACACACATACACACACACACACACACACACACACACACACACAGTAATCCCCCCTTATTCATGAGGGATATGTTCCAAGACCCTGAAAATCATAGATAGTATTCAATGCTATATGTACTGTTTTTATGATAATATATACCCATGATAAAGTTTAATTTATAAATTAGGCACAGTAGGAGATTAACAACAATAATCTCCTAATGATAAAATGCAACAATTGCAACAATCTGTAATAATAAAAGCCTAGGTGGTCCTCGCTCCTTCACACAATGCCCTCATGTCATCACAAGATGGTCGCCCCCACATTGTCACAAGATGGCCACCACAAGATGGCTGGCAGGGGAGGGCAGTTATGGGCAATCAGACCAGCAGGGAAACGCAGTTAGGGGCGAACAGGCCAACAGGAGAGGGCAGTTGGGGGTGGCCAGCACAGCAGGGGAGGGCAGTTGGGGATGATTGGGTCAGCAGGGAAGGGTAATTGTGGGTGACCAGGCTGGTAGGGGAGGGAAGTTGGGGGTGATCAGGCCAGCAGGGGAGCAGTTAGACATCAATCAGGAAGGGAGGGGAGTGGTGAAAGGGCAATCAGGCTGGCAGGCAGAAGCAGGTGAGTGGTTAGGAGCCAGCAGTCACGGATTGTAAGAGGGATGTCTGACTGCCAGTTTAGGTCCAGTCCTGGGCCTAAACTGGCAGTCGGACATCCCCCAAAGGGACCCAGATTGGAGAGGGTACATGCTGGTCTGAGGGACACCCTCCCCCAAGCACGAATTTCATGCACCAGACCTCTAATATACTGTAATAAAAATTATGGGAATGTGGCATTATTAAGTAAAATAAGAATGGCTTGAAGAGAAGTCCTGTAATACTCTGACAGCTAATGTGATAACTGAGATGATTACCAAGTGACTAACAGGCAGGGAACGTTTAAAGTGTGGAGACTTTGAACAAAGGGATGTTTTGTGTCCTGAGTGGGGTGGAGATAGTGAGAGATTTCATCACACTATTCAGAATAGAATACAATTTTAAATTTCTGAATTGCTTATTTCTGGGACTTTTCATTTAATATTTTCAGGCTAGTGTTAACTATGGGTAACTGAAACTGCAGATAGGAGGGGACTACTATACAGAGTTTGGCTCAAATGCCATATAACCAGCAGATGTCAGCCTTGCACAAGAAAATACCAAGGTGTCCAGCAAAGCAGGCCACGTGCAGGATCTATATAGTTAAGCCAGAAAGGAAGTATTTCTAGGAGTTAAACGTTTCAAATAAGTTACTATCGATAGATTCCATTATCTGCCATGATGATGAAATTTCATTATAGCAAGAGAGATTGCAGTTAGAAATGCTGTATTTCACATATTCTAAGGTGTATCTTTTCCACATTTTATTTTTGCATTTCTTTTTTAAGTAATAAAAAATAATATATAGATTTCAAATGATATACAAAAATATAAAGACAAAAGTAAAAGAATCCACACCATTTGGAGTTTGAAGATCATGCATCTACTCTTTGTGCAGATACTTGGAACTTCCTAGTTAAAGAAAACTAGGCTAGTAGTCTTTTATAGAGAAATCAACACTCGAAATTTTCTTTTACAATACAGATGTTTTCTAACACCAGCTTGCTTAATGTGGATCATACCTTTGCTTGATAACCACCTGGGAAAAAAATGGTGAAAATTAGAACATTTGGGGCAAGCCAGTATTTTGAGGAAAAAGGAAGTTATAGGACATAAAGGAAATATCTGGAATAGACACTGAAAAGGGGATTGGTCTATTCAGTTCAATAGGTTTATCCTGAGTTCTTATTCTGTGTTCCTTGTGCCTACAAGGGAACACAGAAAAGGGAAGATCCTGTCCTGTTGCATGTCTTGCAGGCAGATAACTTCTGAGCATGTGGGATATGGTGAGATAGATCTAAGTGCTATGGAGCCAGGGCTGAGGGTGAGGCAGGCTCTGGAGCCCAGGTTACTTCATGGTGGGGAAGGCTTTCTTAGGTTTTTACAGCTCCTCTGATTTTCCTTCTGGTTTTCTCTTTCCTTCTAATTGTAGAATTTCCAGTCAGTTGACTTTCCTATAGTTCTGGGTAATGTCCATTTTGTATTTTAGTTGTATTTTATTGAAATTGTTGTGTGAGGCTGCAATTAGGTGTTACCTGTGCCACCATCTTGGTTTCTCTCTCCCTTTTCCACATTTTAATCTCTTGAGTGGAATGGGTCTTAATAATTGCCATTGTCAGCCAGTTTAATTGACTAATTTTTTTTGCCTCCTTAGTGGAATATAAAATAATTATAAATCTCACAAATGATGACTTATCAGATTCAGTGTAACTCTAGACATTAAATGCACTTAGTCTCTCAGATAAACGAGGAAGTGATTTTGTAGACTTTCCCTTTTATGCCTCTCTAGAAGAATGAGAAATCCCCTCACTGGTACAATCTTTGGCTGAGATGGGGATCACAGTGGTTCTCAGATCTTTCCAATTCTCTGTGAGCTTTCTTAATCATCTTTTTACAAAGCTATGAAGCATCTCTCTCAATCATCCCTTAAGAGATCATAGGAAGGGGAAGAGAGCCATGAAAACAGCTCAGAGCTGCCAACATTAAAGACTGTGTGAGAAATATGGAAGGGTGAAATTCACTTACCACCATTAAAGGCAGAGATAGTTGGCACAGTCCTGGATCTACTGAAAAACAACTCCACTCTGCCTCTTCCAGAATCCGTAATTAATTACAAGAAATGAATTATGGCCCAGGATCTCTGTATCAAGTCCCAGAAATTAACCTGTGTCCAGTCTATAGTCCTCATTGCACAAAGACACTCACTTAAAGAGGCAAATAATGGTTCAAATCTGGCTCTATAAAGCTTACCACCCAAAATCTCAAGGTTTCTTCATTTCTAAGATAGAATTCCTTTTTTTCTTCTATTTAATCTGCAAAAGTGCCTTTCTGTAATTAGTACAAAGGTATATTTTCTGTTTTAAAAAAAAGGGTCTGGTCCCCAGCATTCAGCTTTCTTCCCTCCACCCTATCATTTAGTCTTTACCAGAGAAGTCTTACTCTTTCTCCAAACTCCTAGAAAAGGATGCCCCCTATTATTTGCTCCATGCTCAAACTTTTCCAATTCACAACCCTTTTATTGGTGCCCTATTGCTGAAATTTAAACCATTTGACCTTGACCACATTTATAAAAGGCAGGGCCAAGGAGGTTTTTAATTTTTCATTGTTTGTTTCTTTTACCAGATTTGAGGTAGCACAGGCCAACAGATATTCTATTTGTGAAGTGATCATGTATGGAGATGGGAGGTTTCATTTTATGGTCAACTCTTCTAGTGGCAGTGAAAGAAAAGCCAGGAAGGGTTTGGGGGGGCTGGTACAGAGCATAGGCTAAAGAATAATTAGTGTGACATAATCCTATAGGGGGTTATTCTAAGTGCTATCTGTGTGTACTTGATGGAACCTACATGGGCCAGGTAACTACACACTTGCTCTTTGGTGTAAGGCTTTTCCTTATGATAATATTAACAATAACGTGTGTGTATGCATGTGCGTGCGAGTGTGTGTATGTATGTGTGTGTGTGTGTGTGTGTGTGTGTGTGTGTGTTATATCCTACATATCAAAGAGGTAATATGCAAATGGTCATTAAACCATGAAGTGTAATGACCAACCGCATAACAACCGATCACAGACCAGCAGGAGGGTGGGGCAGCAGGCGGAGAGCTACAGGAGGACAAAAGCGAGCTGTGGTGGGAGAGTAGGGCAGGGCAGCAAGCTATGAGTGGGAGGAGGCAGGAGAGCTATAGGAGGGCTGAGCAGCAGGCAGAGAGCTACTGGAGGGTGGCAGTGAGCTACTGGTGAGCTACTGGAGCACGGATTTGTGCACAGGGCTACCAGTATGTATGTATATTAGAAAAAAATACATACATACTATATGTATATATATACACATATATATATATATATACACATACACACACTAGCTCCTGCATTGAGCATCTGCTCCCTGGTGGTCAGTGTGCATCATAATGACCAGTGATTCCCCGTTCAGTCAATTTGCATATTAGGCTTTTAGTATTTAGGATATATGGTTCACCATATGTCAAACACTACCATCCTTATCACTTTATGAAAATCAAATTGTTTAATCCTATGATTTAATTTTTTTATTGTTTCTACTTTGTAGATGACACTGGACAGTTATTTTTATGCCAAAATAAATTCTGAAGAGGAACTATTAGATACAAAGTACAAGGAGAGATGGGAAAAGGGAGAGGGGAAGGAGAGAGAATATTGTGAGAATGTGACAATTATTTTTCTGGCTCAATTATAATTCTTACCAAGATTGTTTTGTGCCCATTGGGGAAATATAATTAAAGATAAAAATCTTCTTCCACCCCACAAAACCTCTCCAAAAGGTATAAGAGAAAGAAAACAGTTTTATTTTTAAATAAACATTAAACCAGAGTATGATGTGCATCACAGGCAATCCATAAACAAGGTCTTAAAGACAGAAAGAAATCTAATCTGTCAAGTAGCCAAACAAATACAACCCGTTATACACCTGACAAAATAAACCATAACTAGTGTTCAAATCAGAAGACTCCACAGCACCTCTGTCACACATAGTTCATCTGACATTTACCTGGTAGCAGAGGTGGCCAGCTGTGTTAGCTAGTTGCCTTTATCCAAAGGAATAATAAAAGTTCTCCTGTCTTTATGGTAGAAGATAGTTTTGTGAGTTGTAACCAAGCTCCTAAGTTAGACTCCTACCCTCCCATGAAGACTGGAAGGTAAGGGTGCCATGGTCCTTGATGACTACATTTCAAAGCAATGGCTCTCTTTGGAAAAGATATTTCTGGCTTGTAAAGGTGGCAAGAGGTTTAGTTAACCTTTTAAAAAGATTTACAGACATTTCCAAGAGACAAAGAGTTTACAGATTTTTATAAAGCAACACACTTTAAGAACAAATGTGGGAGGAGAAGAAGCCTCTTTCACAACAGGGAAAATTAAGCTTATTTTTTAAATGTCTTTGCCATTTCACCTCTGTGCATCTTCTTTTCTCTTCCTTGGCTTTCCCTTTATCTGTATGGCCCCCTTCTTCTCTAGAGCTGTGGAAGGCAGAAGGATGCAGCCTCTGCATTGCATAATGCTCATTTTCTGAGTCATTCATTTCAAATGTCTCTATGGTTTACCAAGGCTATATCCAGAGCTGTTGAGCCACTCAACTTCAGGTCAGCATTTCCATAGACTGCAATGTAAGCATTACTCCTGGAGGTGTGCAGAGCAGAGGCCCTGGCTCCATCCATACCATCTTACCCAGCCCTTCAGGTAGAAAGTACATTCTAGTGAGTATATGCCACTTTCAGAGATATTATCTCATGTAAGTCTTAGAATTACAGAGACTATTTGAGAAGAAAACGACTTAGTAAGATCATGTAGCTTTGTTAATATCAGAATCAGTACTAGAATTCAGGTCTCCTGATTTCCAAATCAACGCTCTTTTCATGAAGGCACGCTGCCCTGAGTACATAGGAGTTTGGATTGCGGTTGTGGGTCGGAACAAACCTCACTTCCTGTTCTTGGATCTGCCCTGTCCCTTTGAGCTTTGCCACCATTGGTTTTGCTTGTGCTCTTATGAATTCAGACAAGAAGAGTATTATATAGATTAAGCAGGAATACTCACAAGATACTTGTAGCTCATAGTTTCATGAAAGACATGGCAGGAAAATAAAAAATTACTTTGATTTCACTTCATTAGATGACATGGGAACATAGAAAAAGCAAACTTCCCAGAGGATGACATTTCCAGGTGAATCTGGACTGATTAGTAAAGGTAATGGGAGGAAGTAGAAGAAGCAGGACATTGACATCCCAGTTAGAGAGATAACATGTGCAAAGGCAGGCAGGAATGGGAAATCACATCTTCAGAAACTATACCTTGTGCCTAGTGGGAGAAATGGATTATATGGGAGAAGATAAAAATTAAGACTAGGAAAGATTCATAGAAAGCAGATTGTGAAACAAAGTCTTCTATGTTATTTTAAATATTTTATTCAGTCTCGAGAACCACTTAAAGGTTTTACAAGGAATTATATGATTAGATTTCTATTTTTAAAAGACCTAGCAGAGATATGAGAAATAAAAAATAAAAATTAAAAAAAAAGGCCGAGACTGGTTTGGCTCAGTGGATAGAGCGTCGGCCTGTGGACTGAAAGGTCCCGGGTTTGATTCCGGGCAAGGGCATGTACCTTGGTTTCGGGCACATCCCCAGTAGGGGGTATGCAAGAGGCAGCTGATCGATGATTCTCTCTCATCGATGTTTCTAACACTCTATCCCTCTCTCCTCCTCTCTGTGAAAAATCAATAAAATATATTTTTTTTAAAAAAAAGTTTCTACAGCAATGCTCAGCAATAACTATACTAAAAAAAGGATAGTATGCTAATTAGACCGGGAGACATTCCAGACATCCTTCCAGACAAAGCCCTGGTGGTGAAGCCAAGTCAGAGGCAGTTAGGGTTAATCAGGCCAGGAGGAGAGGGCAATTGGGGTGATCAGGCCAGTGGGGGGCAGGAGACAGTTGGGGGCAAGCAGGCCATGGTGGGGGGCAATTGGGGGTGAGCAGGCCATCAGGCAGAGTGGTTAGGAGAAATCAAGCAGGCAGGCAGGTGAGCAGTTAGAAGCCAGCCCTGGGGATCGGGCCTAAACTGGCAGTCGGACATCCCCCAAGTGGTCCCAGATTGGAGAGGGTTCAGGCCAAGCTGAGGGACACACACCACCACCCCCATGTTCAAATTTTGTGCACCAGGCTACTAGTACTAGTATATAAAAGAATAAGAATAAAATACAGGTATACTTTTATAAGAATAAAAAGAGGTGAACATTCCAGAAATCTCACTTCATGGTGAGAAGAGCAGAATGCCAATCACATGACTGTTGCCACTAATAATAATTTTAAATATTACTTACAGTAGTGAGAAGCATTTCCACAGGTGGCATATGAAAGTTTCTATTAGCACCAATACCCAACATTGTCTTCAAAATGCATAATGTGTTTCATTTTCATTTGCATTGCAGGCTTTCTCCACCACCACAGCGCATGCTCTGACAGCAGTGGCTTTGTAGAAGAGCCTAACTCCGACCTCTTCTTACAGGAGGTGGTACTGCCTCCCACCTCCAGCTCCTGCTCCCAGACCTTCCAAACTCCTGAACTCAGTGGGAGAAAGGCAGCATGGTACACAGGGGAGGAGACCAGACTGAGAGACTTGGAATCTACGTCTTGATGTTATCATGAACTGAACGCACAGAGAAAGACCTTAGACATGTCTTCCTTTCTTCCTTAGGCATGTGTGTAGATTTCTCTATTATGTAGGTATTAGGATACATGATAAGGACCGTGGTAAAATGGACAAAGACTTAATTTTCTCCCAAGTTTTGTTTGACACTGCATAGGACAATTAGGGGATTTAAGAGTGATGAAGGTTGAGTGACAACAGTTGCTTCTGGAATGCTCTCAAAGGGCTCAAGCTAAGTGAGAAAGGAAAAATCCCACTTTGGGGCTCTGAAACCTTGGTGCAACCCACAGTGAAAGTCCCTCTGAGCCTCTACTCAATCTTATGTGGTCTCCGTTAAATTCCAGAATGTCCTTCCACAGCACTGGAATCCTGTTTTTCTTCTTGAGGCCTCATCTGAGGAGATCCACTTACAGCCTCCCCCTTAAAATCAGCTTCTTCCTCTACTCCAAACTTTGTATCTTCATAGGAAGAGATGAATGGAATTTAGAGTCTCTTCTTCGCCACTGCAAAAAAGAAAGAAAAAAGAAAGAAAAACAAAAACTACAGTATTTTCTGCTGGCAGAAAACAATGCAAATAAAATATTTTAAAATCTTGCCATGTTTTTGGAGAACTAACAGTCATGGTTTCTGTTGGATGGAAAACGTTGACAAACATTTTCGACAATCAGGGCCTGAGCACCTACCGTGCTCTACAGTAAGGCAGTATGTGATGCAGACATCTTAGATACATTGCTCCCCAAGAACATTTTAATGGAGTGGGAGAGGTCACACACACACACACACACAGACACACACAATTTTCAGTCATGTATGACTTGGTTGCGTAATAAGTTGCAAAACAGCAAAGACCAGAAGAGAGGAATTTGAGGGAAATCGTGATTATTGTAAGGTTTGAGGCACAGAAAACTGACCACCAAGACATTTTAAAGTAAAGTTTATTCCCCAGTAATGAGCGGGACTCATTACAGAGGTAGAGAAATCAGAATTGAAGGAGTGGGGAGAGAAGAAAGACCCAGCAGGGCTGCCTCCATGGATGTCGATGGAGAGAAGCAACATGTGGCTGATCTGGGGGTCTTCTCAAGGGGAGGAACAGGAAAGGGTTGGACCCAGGGCGGAACAGGAAGGGGTGGGCTCCAGGACACTTGGGCATGCGCTGATTAGTGGTTCAATGTCTTGGGGATGTCTCTGTGACGGATGCCAGTAATGTCATAACTCCGTCCACCAGCTGGGGGGAGGGAGAATCTCACAAGTGTTAAAGAAAAAAAAATCACATCAAATACAGTGAGCTGACAGGTTACTTTTATTCTGATACTATTGCCTGCAATAGAGAGAGAGCATAAATGAAACACGGATACCTAGCTAGGTGGAAACAACAGGCTGTGCATTCTGAAGAGCTCGGATGGGGGAGTCTTAGACATCTGTGTTTGGTGATCGGCCTCACCCAAAGGAAAGGTAACTTTGGGTGTGTATCTTCGTGACCAGAGGTAGGTAGATTTACAACTTGGAGCTACGGCCTCCCCGCCCCCACCACTGAAGTTAGGCTCCTGCCCTTCCATAGACACAGACATGGGACACTAGCTTCCTGGTGTTTGCATTGTAGAGACTGGATTCTCAGATCCTTTCCAAGGCTGTTAAACCGGAATGAGGCAGGGAGAGATTTACATCTCAAAGGGACAGAGAAAGGATTTACAGTAAAATTCTCTAAAGCCTGTCCATGCTTTAGTCAACCTGAGGGGCGGTGAAGGCTCTCTGGATCCTGAGAGTGAATAGAAGGGCCTGTGATTTGTCACTGAAAGCACCTAAGAGACTAACAGCACTTTCGAGCTTGTCGCCTGGAGGAAATGGGTTGGGGCTGGGGACAAGGCAATCCCAGCATTCAGCTTCGCCAGAAGGTACCCTTAGATATAGAAATGAACTGAAGCCTTCTAAGGGGTGTGTCTGGCGGGCGGTGGGGACGGTATTGGAAGTAGGGTATGGCCCCATAGCCTCCTCAGCTCCCTTCCTCAGTGCTCATGGCCCTGGAGTAACTGATGGGTCCGCCCTGAGAGTGTCAGCGGGGAAGGAAAAGAAAGGCATTCTGCCTGCACAGCCGCTGCTGGCAGGTTGTGACGGACTCTGACAGTGAGTCAGATGCATTTGCAGAAGCTTCTATTATTAGCCCGGAACAAAAGCTTCTGGCTTCTCTCTCTCTCTCTCTCTCTCTCTCTCTCTCTCTCTCTCTCTCCCTCCCCCCCCCCCCTGCACGTGCCTGGCTTCACCTCCTCCCCAGGAGAGCCAGGCTGCTCTGCTGCTCCCCAGCCACATGCTGTCCCTGTGGTGACTGGGCCTGTGAGTCAGAGCTCCCAGGTGGGTCGCCTCCAGAGCAGATAATAGTCCCCAGGCCAGTCTACTGTGCCCGCCTCGCTGGCAGGGGGTAGGTGTGCAGAGCGGGCCACATTTGGGAAAATTGGGTTAGACACGTGTCAGGGCGGCACTCAAGTGAAGCGCGGCCTGCAGTCCTCATAAAGCTCCAAGCTTGGGCCCTGCTTTTCTTTCCAAGACCTGTTGCCCATAAGGAAACTGAGCTCCCTGTGAGCTCAGCAGGGAAGGTACCTACTTCCATTCCCACTGGGAACCCCAAGGCCTCACAATCCCAGAATATCAGGGACTAGCCAGAGGAAGGACCAAAATTATATGCCCACAGCCAGAGGAGAGGCGGCCCTGGGCCCAAGGAAACTGTTTTCTGTTGGACCCACTTTTTGGGGAAGCTTTGCTATATAATCTTCTTTCTCCAACATCCTTTCAGTGCTGAGTTATCTCTGCCTCGACTCCTACCTACATTGCCCTCATTGCCGTCTTGGATTACTTGGTGTGGACGGAAAGGGGCCAGTGCTAACCTGACAAGCTCAAGGGAAGCCTGCATGGCAGCCTTGCAAACTCAGAGACGTAAAGTTACCACGTAGGATGGCCTGAAATCAAAACTTTTTTTAAACTAAAACACAGGCTGAGTAGTCATGTCTTGGGCCAGTATCTTCCCTGACAAAGGTCCATCTTTACCTTAACTGAGCCTATTGTCTTTTTGCATCTACGATGACATATGGTTGGAATGTCAAAGTAGCTTTTCTTTATCGTGACCCTCTCAAAGCGCAGGAATCACTCTGCGGAGATCACAAATCTCCTCGTTGTTCTTGAGTTAATTATTGGCTGTTCACTATCCTGCACCCACTTAAGTAAAAGATGAGTTCATTATTTTACTGTTTATCCAATCCCAGAGGTCTCCCCTGCTTTACTTTCTCCCACCTCCCTGAACTATCAACCAATGGATTTGTGTAACCCACTTAGTTTCCTCTTCTGATTGTAATGTCTATTATACAATGAGGTGCAAAACTGCCATTCTCCAGAGGAACATCTCAATCCGCTGAAAGTCTGCTTCCCAGCAATTGTCGACAGTTTGGCTCAAGTAAACTCACACAAAAAACTTTCACAGGTTTGAACGTTCCTTATGGTGACATTGGGAAGCCCTGGGGAAGGAAGAGAAGTCCATTTGGGAGATAAGACACAGGTAGGAAACTGGCTGGAGCTCATACTTGTGGCCTCACAAAGCAACATGACAGGTGGCAGGTATCCATATATAAATTGGAGTTCTTCAGTGAGTTATATGAGGCCGAGGAAAGGCAGAATCATTACAGGGAGCTGGTTCAAAGGAAAGCAATGTGGGTGGAGAAGGCTGGAGATTGGCTTTTCTAAAATATATTTTTGTTGATTTCAGAGAGAAAGGAAGAGGGAGAGAGAGAGAAACACCAATGATGAGAGAGAAGCATCAATCAGCTGCCTCCCTCATGTGCTCCACTGGGGATCGAACCCAAAACCCAGGCATATGCAACCCAGGCATATGCCCCCAACCAGACTCAGACCCTAGCTCCTTCAGCCCGCAGGCTGACGCTTTATCCACTGAGCCAAGCCTGCCAGGGCTGGAGATGGCTTCTGTGAACTAAAGAAAGGCCTCTGGAAACTGTTGGGTAGAAGAGGGGAGTTGGTTGACTTGGAATAAGAAGGAAGGATCACAGGCACTCTTTGGGAGGACACAGGCTTCCAGAGTTGGGTGGGAGTTAGCTTCCCAAGCACCTGGTTCTAATTAGATTCACAGCTCAAGAGTGTAGTGAGGATTGAACCCTAAACCTTGGGACCCTAAACTCGTGTGATTCAGGCAAGGTGTTTTACCTCCCTAAATTCTCAACTATAAAGTAAAGATGTTAAAGTACCTATTCTGCCTAGTATATTGGGCTGGATCAAATAAATTAATGCCATAAAAATAGTTTTAACACAGCAATATTTATTCTAAGAAGAATTCAAACAGACAGAAAACCCTGAATGACAGCATCACCTTGTGAGGAGGTAGAACTAGAATCCCACTTACTAATGTGTGACCTTAGACAAGTTACTCAATTTTTCTTTTCTTTTTTTTAAAAAAAAATTCTTTATTGTTGAAAGTATTATGTATGCCCCCTTTTCCCCCATTACCCTCTCTCATCCCTCTACCCCCCTCTGTGCTTCAGATTCTTAATCAATAAACTGTGGATAATGTCTTACTAAAAACTGCACCAAAGTTAAGCAGGCAAGAAAGACTTTATTACTGGCTATTCCAATAGGGGAGAGAGGCCAGAATTAAGTTTGAACTCATCTCTGCTGAAACAAGAATGATAGAATTTTTGACAGCTGGAGTGAGCCAATGTGAAAGTACTGGAAGACCTGAGGAGGGATTATAGGCTATACCTGATAATTGGCTTCATCCAAAAGAAAAATGTCTCTCGTATCTTTATTATAGAAAATAGTTTTGCAATTTTGAGCTAGGCACGTTCAGATGTTAGGCTTCTAACCTCCCATAGAAGTTTGGAGGTAAGAATGCTAATCATTGAGGATTACACTTCAAAGAGATGTTCCCTGTACCTGTGAAATACATCCTGAAGTTGTAAAACTGGCAAGACCCTGGGGGTGGACGGTGGGGAAGA